AGATTTGAATACAGTAGGTGCTGGATGAGTCCTGAAATTCTCCATGGGATGCCAATGCTTCTGGTCCATGGATCACACTTTGAGTAGTCAGGGCCTAATGTTCCACACCTAGTTAAGTCAAGACCAAGATTCACATTCTGATCGTTAGAGACAGAGCTTAGTGTTCTTTCTATTCTGCTACTGCTATCTCCAGAGATTTCTTTCCTCCTGCTGCAGTTTGATAGAAAGCAACTCAGCAGTTAATTACAGGCTGCCAGTTACAGGGCGCAGTGCTGTGCAGCAGAAAACAGAAAGCACCCCTTTTCACAGTGGGCTCTCTACTCCACTAGCTCAACTACCCTGGTTATGGGTAGTTGTTGAAACCCCAGTAGGTTTAACCACAGGCACATGCTGCTTCAGGACTCAGCTTTTTTAAAAAAAGTGTGTTGCGGTGATAAGCCAATTGCAGGCATCAGTGTGGGCCCTTGGAGGGAAAAGAAGAGAACAAGGGAGAAGTGAACAGGCTTAGGAAAGAGAATGCATGGACAATGGAAGAGAATGGAGGCTGGAAGGAGGAAATTTCTACATTCTTTCTGTGGTCTTCTAGGGAATTATTACTATAACTAGAGGCCCAGTGCACAAAATTCATGCGGGGGGGGGGTCCCTCAGCCTGGCCTGCACCCTCTTGCAATCTGGAACCCCTCAGGGGGATGTCTGACTACCAGTTTAGACCCGATCCCTGCAGTCAGACATTTGGCAAAAGGACATCCCTCTCACAATCTGGAACCGCTCACCCCTAGCTGCTTGCCTGCCTGCCTGCTTACCCCTAGCTGCTCGCCTGCTTGCCTGCTTGCTCCTAACTGCTCACTTGCCCCTAAACACTCGCCTACCTGCCTGCTCAGTGCATGTCATAGCAACCAGTCGTTCCAGTCATTCCGGTCATCCTGGTCATTCTGGTGTAATAGTTGCTTAGGCTTTGTTATATATAGATAAGGGAATCACAAGCATGCTGCTAATGCTTCCTGGTTGGGAACAACCCACAGCTGTTCAGGTGGACTGCTGAGCAATGCCTCTGTGAGCCCAATTATTTTCATTTGTATCACAGATTCCTCATTTTGCAGGCCAGGCTGTCTCAGCCTGTACACTGACTGGCTGTCCAAACATGGGACTATCTCTGATAATGCTAGATTTCTGAATTAGCCCCATTTTCTTCCTTTGTGGAATGCCACACATTCTTAAATGACCATGCTGTACATGGCCCTTCTGCTGCCAGAATAGGGTACCAAGGACTAGTGGAAGGTTCATATCAACAGTGTCTGGGTCCCTTCATTCTATCTGTATTTTGGTTTAAAGGGATACTCTGGGTTATGCTATTATAAGCTTTCTTCATATCTTTTTAATTTACTTTTCTTAATGAGATATAACTTACTTACAATAAAATAAATAAATCTTAAGTTTGATGATTTTTTTCACATACATAACCTGCCATACATTGGCTTTAAAACTCCTTTTCAACCCCTATAGATATAATAGCCCTAATGATCATAGAACAGTGGATATACTAATGGGAATTACTTTCGTGATAATGAATCAAATTCCACTAACTCTTATCCCATCATTGATAAAGGGCTCCTCTACAAGTTATCTTTCAGGATATGTTCTTTACTAGGGGCCCAGTGCAAGAATTCATGCACCTTGAAAGGAACTGTGGGCCACAAGGCTGTCTCGGCCCATCCTCCACACCCCGCCAGCCCCTCCCGCTGGGAACCCCCCCCCCCGCCCCTGTCCCCTCTCCACCAGCAGCCCTGCTCCTGTCGCTGCTGCTCCCACGCACTGACACTACAGAGCGATTGGGGCCGGCGCCATAACTGGGATCTCAATACCCCTCTCTCAATAATTTATGGAACCACTACACAGAAAATTAGCAAAAATGTAGAAGATCTGAAAAAGCCTATTAGCCACAGGATCTAATTGACAGCTATAAAACACTCCATCCAACAAAAGTAAAATTATTTTTTTAGAAACTCCTATACTCTTTTCCATACCAGCTGCACCATTATAAATTCTCATTAACAAGTGAACAAGGTCCCAATTTTTCCACATCCTCACTCACACTTGTTATTGTCTGGTTTTTTTTTTCTCTAGTGACCATGCTAATGGGTGTGAGGTGATTATCTCATTGTGGTTTTGATTTGCATTTCCCTGATGGTTAGTGATGTTGAGCATATTTTATATGCATGTTGGCCATTTATATATCTTCTTTGGAGAATTGTGATATGTGACGTTCCCATATCCATTCTCCAGGTTGTTGAGATGCACTGGTGGCAACCGCTTCAGAGGCAGTGTTTTCATTGATTTTGATCCCTGGATCATAGCTATAATGCTCTGTTCTTGAAGTTAATATTCCAGTGGTGAACTCAGAGGCTGTGCTACTTTGGTAGGCCAGTGCTGTTTTATTTCATGACTCATTCATGGGGGTGCAGCTTAGAAATTACTCCTTCTACCTTCCAATGATATAAAAATTCCTTCTTTTGCATAACACAAGGGTTTCTGTTTCCTGCAATGAATCACAACTGTTACTCCTAAAACACTTATCAATTGAGCATACATACTTATTTCAAAATAAACCAGGATTTCTTTGGAGGCCAGCACTACCCCTAGGCATTTCCCTATTCTACTTTATAATATCATAGATATATTCCCATCCATCTTTACCCTGCCCTCCTTGTTGTATCTTCAGTTAAGCAGACCTAGAGGTATAACGGGAGAACCACACAGAGAGGCAAACAGGGATATCCCATGTGGCTAATTCCTTCTGAGCCCTCAGAAAGGAGGGCTCTAGAACAATGATCTTATAAGGAAAGATTTTATGAGTTAGAACGTGTTGCCACATTAGGAAATTAGCGCCTTCATCTTCTTACATTGTTAATTTCTTTCCCAAAGTTTTCCTGACCACTGATTAAAAAATGTCTCTTTAGAATCAACTCAAGAGGTGGGGTAGATATGAGTCAATGAATTAGCTAGAAATTCTAAATGATTCCTGAGTTGTGGCATGAAAAGCCAGGTGTTCATATTCTACTGCCACCTCTTCTGGTTGTGTGTGCGCATGTGCGTGTGTGTGTGTGCGTGTGTGTGTGTGTGTGCACGAGCACGCGTGTGTGCGCACAAGCACGTGTTTGTCTAGCTCCAGATTTCAGTAAACAAGTGAAACTCAGAATATGCATCTATGAAGGAGAACCCATCAAGGCCAGTGTAGTATTTCTATATGCTGTAGAAATGTATGTAGTTAGCAGAACAAAAGGAGGTGTAGGTGGGTCAAGAAACCTTGTTATAGGTGACAGAGGTCTTTGTTGAGAGAACACCACATAGGTAAGATACTTTAAGAAGAGACCGTTTTATATTTGAAACATAATACCTTTGGGTAGGTTTTTCAGACCTCTTTTTAAAAAATATGTTTTACTGATTTCACAGAGAGGAAGGGAGAGGGAGAGAGAGATAGACACAGCAATGATGAGAGAGAATCATTGATTGGCTGCCTCCTGCACACCATCACCAGGGATGGGGCCCACAACCCGGGAATTGAACTGTGACCTCCTGGGTCATAGGTTGACGCTCAACCAGTGAGCCACACTGACTGGGCTAACATGGGCACTTAGTTCAAAAATTCAAGTTGTAGAAATTTAAAGAAAGAATCAGTCAACTGCAAAAAGTTGCATGCTTAAGGTTGTTCATTAAAGGGTGTCTTTATAAAATACAAAATGTAGAAATAGCCAAAAGTTTTGTTGGTGGAAGATTAGTTTAATAAAATATGATGGAGCTTTCAAATGGAATATTACACTGTGTCAGGATGATTTATATGTTTTAATGTAAAAAGATATCTACAATAAACTGAGTCTTGAGAAAAGCTAGTTAGGGAGGGTTTTGGTGTAAGTCTATATTTTTAATGATTCATATATTTTGCTAACATTTATACTTGACTCATGATGGATGCCTAATAATATTCTGTGAATTATTTCATGCAAATGTATTTATATATTTATATATGCATTCTACATTCTAGAAGGATATATGCCTATATGTTAACAGTGGTTATTTTTATTTTCATTAGGTGGAGTTGAAGCTTGAGGCCATAGTGGAAATTATTATAAATAATTTTTACTTTCTAATTTTTTTATTTTGCATTATTTAATATTTTAAAAAGTGTTATTTTTAAGTTATATTTGTATTTTGAAATGATACAGTGTTTTCAAATTTTGTAACAGAAAAAGGCACCTAGAATATACTAGAACTCCTACAAATCAAATAGAAAAAGGAAAACAACACAACAGAAGAATGATAGAAGCAGGTTATTCACATTAGAAGTAAACCGAAAGGGCAACACACATATGTCAAGATGTCAAAGTAAAATAATGGTGTACCACTTTTCAGCCACCAGATTGGCAAAACTTTAAGTTTGACAATGATATAGGTTTTCAAGAATGTGGGGAAACAGGGACTCTCAGTCAATGTTAGTGGAGCTGTGGATTAGTACAAGCACATTTGAGGGCACCTGGTAAAGTGGAAACTGTGTGCCCTAGGAGCCAACAATTGTACTAAGCATCTACCTTAGAAAGAATGTCCCTCCTCTGCAGGAACAGATGCATACATGTGAACCAAGATCATTTCAAGTCCTTGGGCTCTCAGAGTTCTGTAATGATTTTTGAAGGAAGCACCACCCCTCACCCACCTATAAGAAGCCAATGAGGGAGGAGGGGAGCAGGATAAAGGATGGACAGAAGCAAGCAAGGGTGATTTCAGGCCAAGTTCCAGCAGCCTCATCTGGTTCATAAGGGAAGCTCTGAACTTTCATTCTCTCACACAGTCATTGACTAAAGGGTCCCTTGGAGGATACAAATGTTCTGCACGCCTGACTCTGACTGCAGGCAAAGTGATTCCGGGAACCCATGAGTAATTTCCAAAGAGTCTTCATTGTGGGCCGTTAGAAGCAGAAGCCCACAGAAGTGGGAAGGGGAACACAGAACAGGAAAAAAATCTGAAAGGTCTGGATGAAGAACTGAGAGCATACAGTGTAGGTGTAAAAAATACACTGGAATAATATGTGATAAGCTCCTGATCTTCATTGAGAGGTAAGAAAGAGAATGAGCCGAAACCGGTTTGGCTCAGTGGATAGAGCGCCGGCCTGCGGACTGAGAGGTCCCAGGTTCGATTCCGGTCAAGGGCATGTACCTGGGTTGCGGGCACTTCTCCAGTGGGAGATGTGCAGGAGGCAGCTGATCGATGTTTCTCTCCCATCGATGTTTCTAACTCTCTATCTCTCTCCCTTCCTCTCTGTAAAAAAATCAATAAAATATATTTTAAAAAAAAAGAAAGAGAATGGGACCTTATCTATCTATTATGTTTTATTTTTCTTCTTTTTAATTCTTTATTATTAAAGTATAGTTGGCATAAAATACTATACTAGCTTCAGGTGTATTATTTATTTTAAAAGATGAACACTATATAACAAATATGAATAATAGCCAATTCTGAGTGGTAGAACATAGGTAAAACTAGAGTCCTTGAGTGCACTGACACTGGAAATCAAACACACACACACAAGCATGGTTGCTGAAGAGGTGAGGGGAAAGCACAAAACTTCATTTGCAGTAGAAACAAGGAAGCTTTCCTGGGTAAGAACTGCACCTGGGCCCTGCAGAGGTGAGAATAGTGGTTGGACTCCTGCTATTGGCAGATTGAGGGCTTTATTCAACCAAAGGGTGTGGAGCTGGCTTGCTCGGAGAGGGTGCCCTGGGTAAATATGAGGGCACCATGCACCAACTGGGGGAATTGACTTGGATACTTCTTTTACTCCCACAGAGAATTATGTTTATTCACCTGGAAAGCAGAAACTGTTGCTAACTGGAGCAGAAAAGTAATTTCCATTTGGATGTGGCAAGAGAAGACTGAAGCATCAAGAAGAACCCTCATGTAAAAGAGACAGGGTCACCTTTGCTTGGGAGGTACTGGAGGTGTTGATAAATTCAGTGTCTTAGGCCTGCCTTCACTTAGGTTTTAAAAGCCTCTTATGAGGCTTCTCTAAGCTTGTCTTGCTTCTACAGCATACCTATCTTTGGCGGTTGAAATATGCTTCCCTCCCAGAATCAAGAGATTATATAGTGAAGAATGTTTTTCAGGATATAATTTGCCAATAAGAGTTCCTTCTGGTATCTTCATTTGTGTTCCCCAGAAGCAGACTCTGAGACAATTAATTGAGTAGAAGTTGACTATTTAGAAGGTACAAGGAAGCCAAGACGGTATAGGAGAATGTGAACAGCTCCCCCCTGCAAGGGTTGTTATCAAGAAAGTTAACAGTTGGAGCAACAGAAGCTACTCCTATTGGAGATGTCTGAAGGGTGAGGAAGTTCCTCACTTGGTCCCCAGTTGAGGACTACTTCCTGGGGCATTTACTCCCCATCATTCTGGGCCTATTATACAGGTAGGCAGAGTAGGGCTTGGAGGGAATGGTACACAGGGAAAAGGATGCAGGTGCTGGCAGTTGTAAGTTGGGCCTACATGCAGTGAAATGGTAAGAAGGTAAGTGTGGGCACCAAGAAGTCTGGTACACTTGGCTCAGGTCTTCATGTACTCTGGGCACCTGCTGCCTCCTCTGAAAAGTCATAGAACTGACTCTCCACCAACCACTGCCTCTCAAAGGATGGGCCCTATAACCACTGACTTCTGGTCCAGTACAATGTGGAACTTGTAGCCACCAAGGGTGTCGCCTGTGCTATAGGGTATTCAGATAGCACCATTAGTGATCCACCCAGAGAAATATTCAGGCAGGATGAGCCCTACATTGCCCTGTTGAAGACTTAGTCACTGTGTCCATGCCTTATTTGAGGTCACCTGTATTTCTGACAACAGAATCCAGAGCCTCTGGCCACAGTCATCAGATCTTATTTCTAGCCAGCTCTGTCTCTAACCCGGAGGAGAGTCAATGGCCAAAGAAAGTGGGTCAGTCTGCTCTTGGCAGATGTTTCTCAAATGTCATGACATTCTGTGAAGTGATGATGGTAATTTTGCTCTTTCCCACCCTCTCATTCCTGACACACACTTAGCAAGCAATACAGCACAGTGATTAAGATTGTGTGTGTGTGTGTGTGTGTGTGTGTGTGTGTGTGTGTGTGTCCCCACACACACATATTCTGGAATTAACTGCCTAGTTTCAAATGTCAGATTTGCTACCCACACAAGTCACTTAACCTCTCTGTTCCCCAGTTTCACTCTCACAGTATTACCTCAGAGGACTGGTGCGAGGATTGTTATAGAAAACACTTAGGTCTTAGAACATTCTGAGACCACCTACTAAATGCTTTGCCAGTGTTGACTTTTAAAAAATTCTGCTTATGAGAAAATGCAAACCTTGGATGTAGGGAGATGTACCCAAAGTCATAAGACAAGTTGGATTTACAGCAGAAATGAACTGTTCCTGGCGGGCCTTCCCAACCTCTAGTCCAGCAGCCCTCCTTCTAATATCTGAGGGAACCTGCCATTCCCATTCTCATGGCTAACCCCAGTCCTTGTGATAGATCCAGCTGTAGACTCTGGGATTTCAGCATCAACTTCCCTATAGCTAAAATTCTGATCATATGTGAGCCCCAGTCTTGAGCCTGACTCTTCTTTTATTCCCCAGTCCCAGCTCCACTCCCCTGTGCTCCAATTCTCATGCTTCAGCTTTTTCCTTTGTGCCTGGCACCAGGTAGGTATTTAAGCAGGGGGTGCTGCTTGCACTAACCGCAGCCTAGTGTGTGAGTATTAGGATCAATACCATGACCTCTACCAGGAAATAAAGTCCTTCCAGGGACAGGAAACTAAACTGCTCTTTATTGCTAGGCTCTTGGCATCATATCCTGTTTTCTTGGAGTTCTACACCCAACCCACCACGGATTTCTGAGCCCCATGCTCTGTTTAGCTACCTTGTCTTAATTATTGGATGTTTGCTTGGATGGATAATAGAAGTAGCTGTGACTTGTGATGCCAGACTCAGCTTCCAGGATAAATCTTCTCTAACACACTTGCAGCTGAGTCAGCACCACAGAATCACTTCTATCCAGTGGGTGTATCTGCAGCCTGTTCCCAATTCTATTTAGTAATGGAGCTGTTGGTCTAGTGACTCAGTCCACACTGGCTACACCAGATCTGTTTTTTCTACACAAATGATAAACCAAATTACTGACTTAGGAGTCCAATTCCAGATTCAGAAACTCTATTCCACCCAATCAGACACTGGCTGATTCTGAAACCATGAAATGTATAGATTAATTTCAGACTAGAGAAATTCTTGAGGCCCTACAATATACACCTGCTTAAACTCACCATTAATTTTTTCATCACCAATTCTAGGTGGCAGAAGTACAAAAATTAATGTCACATCCATTATCTCCTGATGGAGAAGGCAGATGTGTAAGCAAATAGCTATTATATGAAGTTATAAATGCTAAAACAAAAGTATTGTTAAAATGCTAAGGGAATGTCAATAAAGAAAAAATTAATTCTATGGGGAAAGGTCAAAGAAAGTTTCAACAGAGAGATTATGTCTGAGCTAAGCTTGAAGGATGAGTGAGACCATGTCAGATGGAGAAAGGGGAAAGAACATTTTATTTTTATTTTTTCCTCCCTTTTAACCTGTGATAAAGAAGGCTCCATTAGCCACACCTCTCTGTTTATAAATCCTATCTTAGTTTTCCCACAAAGTTCTCCTTTTTGCATTCTTTCTCTTCTCCTTTATATGTTCAGTCCCCCAGTTCCATTCCCTTCTCCCAGAGGCACCCTGTTGAACGTATATATATGTTATCCTTAAATATTCTTTTGTGATTGTATACTAAACAGTGTTGTTTATACATATGTGTTTTTAATTTACATAAAAGGTATTGTGCTCTAAGTGCCATTCCCTTTCTTGCATTGATCACTCAGCACTCTTTTAATAGATGTATGAATGTTGCCATGTGAGTATTTAGTTTTTTTCTTCTAACTTCAGCATAGTGTTCTGTGGTGTGCACACACTTCATTTTTCTCATCTCCTTTCACAGTGAACACCTAGGTTGCATATAACTCCCTTTTACCATAATGAACAGCCTCATATATGTCCTCTTACAGACCTGCGCATGAACTTGTCTCAGCAGGACTGCTTGCCATGGACCATCGATGTACTTAATTTTACAAGGTATTGCCAAATTGCTTTCAAAATGTACACATTAAGCAAAGATTTATTAAGTGCCAACCACATGCCAGGCACTATTCTAGCCACAGGGGTTTTGGCCGTGAACAAAGTCCCTGCTTTCAGTGACCTTATAGTTGGATGTGGGAGACAGCAATGAACAAATAAGCACAGAATGAAATATCACATAATGAAAAGTACTATGAAGAAAATGAAGCAGAAGATGAGGACAGAGAAGAATAAGGAGTGCTTTCTTAGGTAAGGTAATGAGAAAAGGCCTCTCTAAGAGTATATATTTGATGAGAGGCCTGAATGAAGTGAGGGAGTGAGTCATGATTTGGGTCTGGGAGAAAGCATTCCAGATTAAGGACTCCAAGGCAAGAGTATGTTGGGTGTGTGTGAGCAAGATGGCAGTGTTTGGAGTTTTTAAGCAATAGATTTAAATTAGATGATAATGCTAGTACAATGCTTAGCACAGTGCCAAGTGCTCAATTTTGACATGTCATTACTATTATTGAAGTGCCATGATGAGATTGGAGGGTTGGAAAGGTCTCTTCCATTGTAGAAAGATGAAAGATGGGGGGATTAGAGACCAGCAGGAGGGGTGAGTGCCTGGGGGAGTGGCAGTGGAGTTTCAGTTTAAAGTTGTTAAGACAGTTTTAGATATCTTTTTCTTTGTTTGTTTTCACAGCGTTTTCTGGACAGTCCTTGTTTTAGACCAGTGATGGCAAACGTTTTGAGCTCGGCGTGTCAGCATTTTGAAAAAACCTAACTTAACTCTGGTGCCGTGTCACATATAGAAATATTTTGATATTTGCAACCATAGTAAAACAAAGACTTATATTTTTGATATTTATTTTATATATATATTTAAATGCCGTTTAACAAAGAAAAATCAACCAAAAAATGAGTTCGTGTTTCACCTCTGACATGCGTGTCATAGGTTCGCCATCACTGTTTTAGACCCAGCAATTGAGCTCTTGGTCATCATCCATCTTCATCACCATCAGCGAGCACACACAGATTTTAGCCCTTACAAAAGAGAGAGCTCCTTCAAGAACTGAGGAAGTACCCAGAAAATATGCTGGACCAAAATACATTCTTTGCTTGTTGGGAGTTTAGAGAGAACAGCATCTTGGCAGAGTGTTTCAGCTAAATACCCAAATGATCAGCTAATTAGTTGGGTCTGAACACAGCTGAACAAATCCACCTTCCCAAGTCACTGCCAGAGGTTTGAGCAACTTCATTCTGGCTGGATTTCAACACCACACACCAAGAACCAGATGACTGGGCCAGGAGGGACATTTCTCACTTACCTGCTTCCTTCTGTTAAAAAAATACTACAGTACAATAATTTTTCCTATTAACAGATTTGATTGGGGATAGGAAAAATATGAAGACGTATTCAGCCTCACTAGAAATTAGAACTATGCAATTATAAATGGAAATGAGAGACCATTTTTTATCCACCAAGTTGGCAAACATTAAAAGGATTGATAATATCTAGTTTTGGGGAGAGTGAGGGAAAATAGCACTGTTGTACACTGTTGGTGGGAGTTTTAATTGGCAAAGACATTTTGAAGGGCAATTTGGCAGCTTCTAGCAACATTTAAAATGCCATGGTTTTTGGCCCAGCAAGCCCTCTTCCAAGCCAGCCTCTAGAAACTCTATCCCATAGGTATATTTGCACATGTACCCATTTATATAGTGAAAAATGGAATTGATATAAATGCCCACCCATTAGGAAGTTGTTAAATAAATAAATTATGGCATGCCTATACAATGGAGTGCTTGGTATGTACTGACAGGGGAAAATGTTCAAGATACACTTGGTGAAACAAAAAAAAAACCTCTGGATAATATGTAGGATAGAATTTTATTAATATATAAGAGAAATAAATCTATATGTGTTCATTTATGCATGTAAAGACTTTTCTAGAAGGTCTGAAAGGACACACTTCAACCGTTAACTCCAGTTCCCCCCTGGGTGGAGGGGAGTAGGACAAGTGAAGGGTGGTTTCTTCCATGTATTTCTAATTGAGCATCCATGTGTTATATGTGGATTTAAAGGTAATTTTTTTAAGAAAAAAAAACAGAAAATAAGAGACTGCATGGCATTTGTATTTAATACGCTTCATCTTCCTCTTCTTCACTACCCACTACCCAGATCATAACTTTCAAACCCCTGAACCTTTTCTCTTCCTTGGCACATGATAAACCCTGAATCCTAAGCATGCTCTTATTGCAGCTGATAGCTCTGTCAGCTGTTAATTATTCATGCTAATGGAAGGGGCTGGAGGCACAGATAATGCAAAATCAAGAAGAGTAAATCTTTCAGAGTCTCAGTCTACTCCCCGCCTGGATCTCCTGGGAACACCTTCCATACTGTAGGTATTTACTCAGCAATAAATATTGATTGATATGGATTGATATTTGTCTCTACAATTTTAAATCACCCACATTCTCTGACTTGTAGATACAGGCAGACATGTCCCTGGGCAGTGCCCTCCTCAGATACTTATTGGCCTGGCCCAGCTGGTAGGAGCCCAACCCCTGCAGGGTCTTTCCATGAGGACTGATAAGCCCCAGGCATTATTCACCAATGGACTATTCCATTGACAGGAGTCCTGTGGTTATTTGTTTGTTTTTACATAAACATTGGCATGAATATTGGTGGCCTTGCCTTTTTAGTGGATTTTCAACCAGTTTATGCTCAAAAAGCACAAACAAATCAAAACAAAGGTTTTATATTTATTGGAATGGATGATATTAAAAAAGACTGACAACCCAAAATGTTGATGAAAATATGGAGCAATTGAAACTCATACATTGCTGATAGGAGTGTCAAATGGTACAACCAGTTCATAAAACTGGTAGCTTCTAATAATCATACATTTATCCCTGTGATCCAGAAATTCCATTCCCAGATATTTACTCAACACAAATGAAAATATAGGTCCATGATAAGACTTTTACACAAATGTTCATAAGATTATTATTTATGAAGTCACAAACAAGAAATAGTTCAAATGTCCATCAACAGGCAAATGGGTTAATAAATTGTGGTATATTTGTACAATGAAATGCATCCTGTATAATAAAGAGGTAATATGCAAATTGACCATTATGTCTTCGCACAAGATGGCCACCCCCATGTGGTCACAAGATGGCTGCCACAAGATGGCCGGCAGGGAAGGGCAGTTAATGGCAACCAGGCTGGCAGGGGAGGGCAGTTAGGGATGACCGAGCCAGTAGGGGAGGGCAGTTGGTGGGGACCAGACTGGCAGGGGAGGGCAGTTGGGGGCAATTTAGCAGGGGAGCAGTTAGGCATCAATCAGGCTGGCAGGGGAATGCTTAGGCAGTGATCAGGCCAGCAGGCAGAAGCGGTTAGGGGCAATCAGGCAGGCAGGCAGGCAGGCAAGCGGTTGGGAGCCAGCAGTCCTGGATTGTGAGAGGGATGTCTGACTGCCAGTTTAGGCCCGATCCAAAACTGGCAGTCAGACATCCCCTGAGGGGTCCCAGATTGGAGAGGGTGAAGGCAGTGCACCAATTTCATGTACCAGGCCTCTAGTTTAACAATAAAAAAGAATAAACTAGTGATACTTACAACAACATGGATGAATCTCAAAATATTCTGTTGTGTAAAAGAAGCCAGGCACAAAAAAAAATATGTGTTGTATAGTTCTATTTTTTAATTAAGTATTTTCTTAATCTTTATTGTTGAGATTATTACAGATGTCCCTCTTTTTCCCTCCATAGCTCCCCTCCACCTGGTTCCCACCCCACCCCAGGCTTTTACCACCCTATTGTCTTTGTCCATGTAATGCATATATACAAATAAGATCTTTGTTTAATCTCTTCCCACCCCCACCCCCTGCCCTCTGAGAATCATCAGTCTATTCCAATTCCATGCCTCTGAGTCTATTTTTCCACCTGTTTATTCTGTTCATTAGATTTCTTATTTTTTTGATTTTTAGATTCAGTTGTTGATAGATATGTATTTGTTGCCATTTTGTTGTTCATATTTTTTATCTTTTTCTTTTTCCTCTTCTTAAAGAATATCCTTCAGTGTTTCATATAATACTGGTTTGGTGGTGATGAACTCCTTTCGCTTTTTTTTTGTCTGTGAAGCTCTTTATCTATCCTTCCATTCTAAATTATAGCTTTGCTGGGTAGAGTAATCTTGGTTGTAGGTCTTTGCTATTCATCACTTTGAATGTTTCTTGCCACTCCCTTCTGGCAGGTTGTTGGGAAATCAGCTGCCAGTCATATGGGCACTCCCTTGTAGATAACTAACTGCTTTTCTTTTGCTGCTTTTAAGATTCTCTCTTTGTCTTTAGCCCTTGGCATTTTAATTATGTGTCTTGGTGTGGTCCTCTTGGGGTTCCTCTTCTTTGGGGTTCCCTGTGCTTCCTGGACCTTTAAGTCTATTTCTTTCACCAGGTAGGGGAAGTTTTCTGTCATTATTTCTTCAAATAGGTTTTTAATATCTTGCTCTCTCTCTTCTTCTGGCACCCTCATAATTCAGATGTAGGTACACTTGAAGTTGTCCCAGAGGCTCCTTACACTATCTTCATATTTTTGGATTCTTTTTTCTTTTTGCTATTCTGGGTCAGTGTTTTTTGCTTCCTCATATTTCAAATAATTGATTTGATTCTCGGGACCCTCTAGTCTACTGTTGAATCCCTGTATATTATTCTTTTTTTTTTTTTTTTTTTTTTTTGCATTCTCACTAAGATCCTTGAAAGTCTCACTAAGTCCCTTGGAAGATTCTAGAAGAGTCTTATAACTGTTGTTTTGAACTCTATATCCAGTAGTTTGCTTTCTTCCATTTCTTTCATTTGTGATATGTTTCTTTGTCTCTAAATTTTGGCTGCTTCCCTGCGTTTGTTTCTATGTACTGGGTAGAGCTGCTAAGTCTCCTTGAGTTGGTAGAGTGGCCTTGTATAGTAGGTGTCCTATAGGGCCCAGTGTCTCAGCCTCCCCAATCACCTATGGTGGACACT